ATTTGTTAATCTATGGTTTGATAAATTCACAACACTAATACATTTCCATAAAAGAGTTCATACATATTACATACATTTTAGATAAACTATAATAGGTATAGTTTATGATACATCACTCTACGCACTCGTACAAGAAGGGTACATTCATACAAGAAATATTTATATTCACACACATTTCACGTAAACTTGTTACCCTATATTGTGAGACTCTCTCTCTCTCTCTCTCTCTCCCCGTACGTCCGAGTGCGGGATATAATTCCTGGTAGTTATAATCAGAATCTCCTTGAGGGAGAACGTGATACTTGTATATAGATCTATATTGGGATTGACACCCCACACCTTGCTGCTAGCTACAGTTGGACCTGCAGGTCTACGGGTGACAAATGTCATTTCATTTTTCGCGACACTGAGAACGTCGTGGTAGGTTCACATAGTCATAGTATGATTATAACGACTCACATATGGATATAACAATCCATAAGTTTACGGGATTTTATTTTTAAAACCTAAATGAGTTTTACGTCGATTTAAAATCACCTTTTTATCTCTATGGGTACAAATACAAAGTGCCGGGTCTCTATACAAAGTTATTATGATATTAAAACTATACTTCCTCTAGAATTGTTAGACTTCAACTATAGTTGCTGAGCGTATATGTTTGAGTCATATAAGAATTTAGTCTTGGTTGGCCTAGAATTGGTGGTGCCCGCCTCATCTCCTGTTCCTCGTTGGGTTGTGGACATAGGGCAGACCCACTATATTCAACGTTTTATCTAATTTAAATCTTATATAACTTATATACACTGGACGATTATAGAGGAACTCTACGGGTCATTCTAGGGTTCATTAATGCATCATATAGGAATATTTCTATGCACACTTAACTAAGAAAATATTAGATTTTCTGGAAATCAAACTATATCGATCTTACAAGGAAAAACGGTTTCTACTTCAAACAAAACTCTTATGAACTTACCAACCTTTGTGTTGACACTTTTTAAAACTACTTGTATTCTCAGGAAATCAGTGAAACAGGAAAACTTCATCGCTTTGAGGATGGGACGTTAAACCGTCAACAAATTTATTTTGTCATCATAATGTAATTGCTTTTGAAACATGTAAACATATACTTTGGTGAAACTTTTGCAATTATATATATGGTGGTTGTTTTTACTTTGAACACTATTATACACGTTGTTGTGATACTGTACATGAAGTCCTCCACCCCCAGACGTTTCCGCCATCCTTGGTTTGGGGGTGTGACACCAGACGAGAAATGTGTCGGTTGGATGCTAAGTGTTAGTTTGGGGCTTGAGAACACGCGAGGTTCCTATGTAATATAAAGAGATACATAATTATATCTAATTAGACTTTGAACTGCTAATTAGATAAGATAGTACACTCCGAAGCGCGAAAACACTTTATTTCAAGTGTTAGGAGTGACCCGAGTAGCATCTAAGGGTATGTAGGGTCTAGATATGGAGTTTGCTCTTCAAGAGTAAACTACTAATGGAGATTACGGCCCTAAGACCATATCCCCATGAGTTTACAGCTGTAAACTCATGGGTGGTGGGTTCTTGGTTGCTAAATGGTCTTAAAACTCTTGTGGGGTGATGCTAGGTTTAGTTCTAAGGCATTGGAAGGGGACTTGATCAACATTTGGACCATTTAAGGAGTTTATGGAAGTAAACTAGGAGTTTACGGCCGTAAACTCTCAAGTATCCTCTCCTTATGTGTTTTTGTGGTCCTAGGTCAAGCACAAGTGTTTCTAGTCCAAAGTACAAGCTATGGAAGGAAGTTAGGGCACCATTTGACCACCACAAAGGAGTTTACGGCCCATGAACCATTCCTTGGGGGTTTTACGGCCGTAATCTCCTAAGGGGATGGTTTCTTGCATGATTAAGGTCCCTAACACAATGGTGGATGATTCTAGACATTATTCCAAGGCTTAGGAGGTGTTTAAGGGGCATTTTAACACCTTAAAATGTGTTTGCGCCTTTGAATGGTTGTTTACGGTCCAAGCATGTTCTTGGGCCGTAAACTCATGTTTACCCCTCAAATGTTAAGGTTTTGGTGTTCTAAGTCCAGTTTTGTAAGCCTCTAAGTCATATCTAAGCTCCATAAGTGGTTTGGAAGGGTTTTGGGGCTCCAAAAACCCATTTATGTGTGTTTGCGGCTTGGGGCTGTTCCTGGGTCGTAAACACATGTTCTTGGTCCTATTTCATGATTTAAACACGAATTTGAAAGCCAAACATGTTATACTATGAGCGAGGATGGATTACATACCAAATTGGAGCTTGAAAGGGGTGATTTTTGGATCAAAGATTGAGTTTGTAGAGAGAGAGAGAGAGAGAGAGTGAGTGAGTGAGTGAAAAAGCTTGAATATCAAACTCTAACTGATACTATTTTTCAAAATTAGACTATGTGTACAATTTACCTAAGTCATCTCAAACATCATTGTTGTTTCATACTTTTCTAGTTGTGTTCCATTACACTAAATTTAATAATTCTTAATCAAAGTGATGATCTTGGAGATACCAATCTCCCACGAGTCCAATAAGGTTGCAGAATTTGCAGTCTTGTCATCTATTGGTTTGCCCTTTATACATGTCACAATTCCCTACATATTCTTCCCCTAGAAAAAAAAATATTCATAACATAATTCTAGTAAACATAGTTTTGTCATCGAGTTGGGCACTAATAGACTGAAGAGAGTCATCTTTTTCTTGTCATAATGCCAATAACAATCAGAAAGTTGATTAAAACTACACTCTAATCCCAAATCGCGTCGAGACTATTGACAAAAAGGGTTATTTGCAACGCTATAAAAATTACATCGAGATTATCGACGAAAAAGGGTTATTTGTAGCGCGAAATATGTTCGAAACCCTTAAAAAATTAAACAAATAGAACAAATTAAACCAAATTGAATACAAAAACGAATCAAAAAAATCATACCTAAAACCACCATAATTTTCAAATAGAGTTCTAATATCATGTAAATTAACAAACAATAGAGACAAAATACGGATAAGGTTTTATTATTACCATAGAAATATACAATTAAAATTAAAAGGAAAAATAGAAGAGTTAATTATGTTAAACCTAGATAAATAGCTAAATATATATAGCCCAAACCAAAATAGGCCAATAAAATTATTAGGCTAACAATATTATATATTTCTATATGTATTTTAAAACATCATTTAACAAGACTTATAGTTACCTAAGTCCTTTCACTGAGCTTTTTAAGTCGCATGCATAACATAAAAGGTTTCGAGACATAATACAATAGCTTTCAAGGTGCTTTAACTCAATGATAATGATTTAAGGGTTTAAGTATTAACTAGAAAAGGACACGCAGCTCCGTCACTTTTGGACTATGTCATAAAAGTTGAAAATCAGCAAACTTTAAAAGATGTGTTGAAAGTGTAAATCGTCACAAATAAAGGAGAAAGACGACAACCCCTAAAATTAGATGTCAAAAGTGTACAACCAAAAGAAAGAACATTGATTGTGAAAAACCAAAAATGTTGTGGCTATAGTGTGAAAGTTGCTAAAGTTAGAAAAATATGGTGACACAAGTTTAAAGGAGTTTTTTTTTTTTTTTTGTGTTTGTATGTCAAAATGCAAAAGTTTTGACTTCAATGTTGAAAAGTGTCGAAGTCACTAAAAATTTATGGCAAAAACATCAAAATATAAAAGTTTAGACTGCAAGGACGTAAAGTGTCAAAGTCACTAAAAATTTGTGGCAAAAACCTAAAGATACAAAACTTAAAAATGTAAAAGTTTTTACTTCGAGGACGAAAAATATCAAATTTAACAAACATTTGT